AGGGGTGTTGCCCATTGTGTGTGTGTTTTTGGATTTGTGTGTAGAGTTCTGAGAGTATGAGGCGTGCTTTTAGAAAATGTGTGTGAACAATCGAGAAAAACTGTAATCAAATCCCAGCTCATTTAGATGTGTTGTGACAATTCAGAAATCAGACAAAAATGTCTTATACATCCATCAGTTGAGAAATTGTGAGCTTATTTTAAGAAAGGTCTAATAAATAATAGGAGGTGCATCGTTAATGATCTAGACACGTCTCACAACACACCTCCCTGTCAAAGACCACCCTACAGGGGACAGTAGAAGGTAAACAATGAAGAGGCAGGGGGAGGACATCCTGACTACACAACATCAAGGAATGGACTGGCTGCAGCTCCACAACCCTGACAGGCACAGCAGAAGGAGAGCTGTGAGATCCCTGACTGCCTACGCAGGCCAACCCTACAGCCCCAAGGTCATGGGATGGATGAGTGAGTGAGTGAGTGAGTGAGCGAGAGCATCTTTAAATATTTTTCAGTGTTAAAATATAACATGGAAACACAACTTTACATAACGATTATAAATTATTTATCAGTTTAGTTTGACTCTGTGGCCTGCGCCAATAAACATTCTAGCTGTAATAATGTCATTCAAAATGTATTCATGGACAATGTTATTTTTGGTAACCCTGTCACTCACACTAGGTATGAGCATAACAAACACATACACTCCTGTAGCCAGCACTCCTTGTACAATTCACCACTACAGGGGAGAGGTATCTCAGCTCAGTGAACAGTCTAATTCTGTCCCACCCACACTCTGAAATCCTTCAAATGCTTAGTGGGTTAATCAATGAGGCTTGACTCAACCCGTCACTTAAACATGGCTATTCATGAACATACATCTCTCTCAGTCTAGTACATCCCTCTGTCTCTTTTTGACCCACAATCATTCAGATGTCCATATCCACGTCTTTTGTTTTAGTGAGATTGAAGTGGATAGTTCCAAAAGCCTGCAGAACCCTTCAAAATGTGGAGCACTTAAGCACAGGGGGAAGACACACAGAACAGCTCACAAGGTAGGAGAAGAGTGAACCCTTTGAAGGGGACAGTCCTATACATGATGTATGTGGTGCTTGTGGGCTTTGTTTCACAATGGTGCACTGATCCAGAAACGAAGCCAATTGCCCATGAAAGGGTTGGGAGGATAAGAGTCCAGGTAGTGGATCTGTAGATCTATGCAAGGTGTGGCAGCTGGCGGGGTCTTCACTGGAATCATGGATTCTGCACATTTTGCAGTGCAGTTAAACAGACATTTCTAATTTGTTGGTCATAGGAGCTTGCCTTGTGTTTATGAGCCTTGCCGAAGTGAGAAGATCAAGCATTTCCAGCTAATTAAAAGGGAAATGAGAAAGCCATCCATTTACGCTGTTTGATTTTCATACTCCTTGGCTTTCTGCATCACAATTGTCCTCTTCTTTTTGCGCCTTAATTAAAGATTTACCTTGGGATACATACATTAGTGCCTAAAAAAATGGATTACCTGTCCAGCCCAGTGATGTACCATTAAATGCTCGTCTAAGTCTGCCAGCACCACATCAGGCAGCTGAGGCCAGGAATTGGCTGCTCTCTCTCTGCTACAAAAGGCCGCATTGATTTCCATCAGAGGAGCCCTCGTGTCCACTAAGCACTCCGACTTTCATTAAGACCTTTGCAGAATTCCAGACACGTTGCTCCCCAACCCCAAAACACGCATGTGTGTGTACACAGTCATTCGTACGCACACTTTGCTCCTGGTCACACTTTTCGCTGGAGACCTTTACCCACAGAACCACGGCAGTAACCACATCCCTAATTAAACAGTCTTTAAACAAGAGTATGATGACTTTAAATAATTCATAAATGTCTCATCTACATTAATAGAGGTGTCAAGTTTTTCTAAGGCTTAAGACTCATTCTAACAACTGGCATCCAAGGTTAAACAGGGTTAAACAGAGGAGGCACATTTAAAGTGTTCATGTTAATATGCCACCTAGTGTGCTTGTTGTTAGCTTTAAGTGGGGGATAAGTTGTTTCTAAGAGGCTTTCTGCGTTTGTCATAAGATGCTGCTACAGGATTTGTTTTTGCCATATCCCCTGTCTTGTAAACAAGCAGGGATTTCGATTCAACTGTAGGATGCTGCTTATTAACTCTGAGTGCTGCCCGTGAAACCTGACTTAAGGCCTCCAATGATGCAACCTCTTCTCTGTAGAAAGAGGCCATCTCAGCAAACTCACCTCTCCCTCTTGGACAGCTGTCACTGAATAGGGAGCTGTCACTAAGTTTTAAAAGCAAGATGCCAGCATTACAGCCTGCAGAGAGAAGAAGTGGCTCACATAATGAGCAATAATGGGCAGATTTTAGAAGTGAAACTCGAGTAAAAGAGTGCAATGTTAGATATTCTAAACGGTCTGCTCTAGCGGAATAGAGGTTGTGAATAGTGACACATGATAAGGATCTCTGGATGTTAAACATGCAGCTTGTAAATGAGCTGCTAATGTAGAAATGTTGCAATGATCAGAGACGTGATGAAATACCTGCTACACCTAACATCAACTCCTCAAGTACCATCACAGGAATACATTCTGACAGCACTTAGGATGCTCCCCAAGTAATGTATGTTTGTTTGACACATGTAACCAGAATTTAGAGTAAGATCAAGCACTGTTTGTCTCTCAAGGCGTACATCAAATCATTGTATCAAAGAAATGGATCTTAAGGCTTCAGTCTGAAAGCATTATCCAGGGGAAGAAAGGGCTGTGCAGTGACAATAAAGAGATGTCAACTGGTCCTCACTGATGCTCATTAAAGAAAATGATTTCACTGTTGTACACTGATGCCCTTTTTCTATTTGAGGCTTTGCTACACCAGTTGTGCTCTCAAACATACAGCAGCACCTCTTAAGATAGCAGGCAGCCCAGTATACACAAATAATGCAGAAAAACAACTCATTCACAGATAGAGGGGGTCTCATTTGCTATGCTCTGTAAAATAGTTTGTGGCTACAGGGTGTCGGATTTAATGATGAAAGCACCAATTTAATTATTTATGCTTTATGCGTATGTTTATTGTGATTGCCAACTGTGAGCACTTCGTACTGTAGAAATGCATGGATTTGGCAAAAAAATGAGTCTTCATATTAAGTTGAGCTCTACCAACACAACGGAGGAAAGATATCTTGTGATAGAGTCATACTCACAGCATACTCAAAATTCTTTAGTCACCCATTACAGAATGATGGCAGCTACTGCCAGACCTTTCTTCTGTGGTGGTATAAACAAAGTAGTGTGGAGACTATGCTGCATTAACAAAGCTTTAGAGCACAGGGTTCTAAGGAGGGAGAGACATGAGCCAAAGACACATGCAGAGTTCTGAAAACAGAAAATTAGTTGGTGTGGTAGTACAGCTGCAGTGGCTGTGACATACAGCTAATGAAGGCAATTAAGGTACTTCAGCTACATCCTAAAGTCAGTAATCAAAGTCAGACAAATCTGAATAAGCAGACATGAGGCATATATTTTTACATTCAGTATATCCATTAATCCACTAAGAAATTACAGAAAAAAAAGACACTAAATAACTTTTAATATACCGCCAACTGAGACAACTGCTGTACTTCAGTAGGCAGCAGTAAGGGCGCTACACTTGGGTCAAACTGTACAGCACTTTAACTGTGTACCCTTCTGACTAATGGTTATAACTCTGTAACAATTAATAACCCCAAACTAACTCTCAAACAGGGCAAAACACCATGGCACACAATCATTTGTGACAATTTGTTTCATACTTACTCGTGCAATAGAACATTTATGAAAATATCTCTTTGAATACGTAAATACTATTTTAAAATACTTTGTTTTGAAAAGGTAGCAATATTCATGTTGTTGGTGTCTGCTTTTTATTTTATTTTTATTTTATTTTAATGATTATATATTTTTTTAGGGGCTTTTTGCCTTTATTGGATAGGACAGCTGAAGATAGACAGCAAAGGGGGAGAGAGATCCAAATTGAATATGATTTGGAAATCATGTGTTTTAAAGAAATGGTCATCAATCTCTTTATAATACTTTAACTGATCTTAAAATCATAATACATTTTTAATGATGACTGTTGTGATGTTTGCTCCCCTTGTGAAGAATACTTTAGCAAGTAATGTGTAAGTCAGAACCTTAACTTTTTCACAAGTGGCAACCTCCATGGCTGGAAAATGAGGCTAATAAATCAGGACAACACAAAAAACCTGCAGTTCCTCAAACGGCCACTTAAGGCTGGCTGCAGAAGTGAGTCAATCTCATCCCATCATCCCTTTTTAAAATGCCCAACTTTATAGCACAAATAAACATGTTTACAGCCTGGTCATGTGATGTCAAGGCTTAAAGTTATGCATAATTAAGAGCATGGCTGCTTTGAGTGACAGGTTGATGCTGTCACAGCCAGCTGTTTCCAGCTACCAGAGTTCAATCAGTAAGGACCTCCTAAGATGGCGATGGCCAGAATCAACTACAGTGTAGAGTGATGTCACAGAGACTACTTCCATTTTTAATGAGACTGGCTATGGTATATTATCGGACATCCCTAATAATGGCTAATAAACAAATTTGAACCTCTGGAGTGTTTGTGTTACAGAAAATAAATTACTGAGCTCATGATCTCTTCCTTGGCTTCAAAGTGCTTGACCATGACGTTGGGCTGTTTGTTTTGTTACATCATCAAAGCACCACCAAGCAAAATCTGAATTGGCCTTACTTAATGACTGTGCATGGATTAGTTTTGTAGCTCCTCTATTACCGAGGAGACAACTGACATGTTGGTGTGTGTGAGTATAACGAACTAGCTAGTTTGACATTTCATGCACACATGAATCATTCATCAAAGAGTAAGATTCAAAGCCCACTCCATGCACAAGAGGTGATAATCATAAAGGATGAAATGACTGGAGATTCCCCTGGATTACACTGAGTGAGTGATTACCACTTTCTGGGGCACAAGATCAGACACACTTACCAGAACAATGTAAAGCTAAAATTACACACATGTACTTTGAGCTAGTGTTTTATGCACACTGAAATAAAGATAACAGCACTGCAGAACAATGTATCCTCACTGTTACCTATGTAGTGCTCCTCATTTCTTACTTACTTGGAGTTTCTTTCAAAGTCTCCCAGCAACCAAATTAAGGATGAACACTAGGGTTGGGCGATTGGACCAATACACTGGCATCCGGAGAATGAGACCCACGCAGTGACAGATGTTCAGCGGCGCAGTACACACACTGAGCCGGCGAGCGCTCGTGCAGCATATACGCATGCACGAATATATCTGTAAGCAGAGATTGTTGGACTGATGGTGGCCGGTGGGAAAATGTAAACCTATCGCCCAACCCTAATGAACACTTCACAAAACACACACAGAGCTCCTGAATGGCTACTGGAATATTCTATTCTATACATCTTCTTCCAACTCAACAAAAAGGCGTGGAGACAAAAGCTCTCTGCCTTTTATCTGTCTGCAGAGGACTCACTGTGAACAGCTAACATGAAGCATTCATTCTAAAGCTACATTAACCTTTGCCACAGTCAAAAGTCAGCTGATTAAAATGTGAGCATCTGTTAGCTCCAAGACATATGCAATGTAATGTGAGTGAGAAACATGTCCCTTCGTAGGGGCAGTGATACTTCTAAAAGGAATTCTATAATTACTAAAAAATGTCACATCCTCAAACACATTCCTTGGGTTCAAAGTGAGAACATACTGACCACACAGCCAAACACAACTACAGCCTCCACACTGTGTGCTCTGCGCTCATTAACTGCAGTAATTAGAGCCAGTTAATCATGAAATACACATATACCCACAGTTTCCACCAAACATACAGTCCCACCATAACTTTTCACCTATATTATGGCAAAAAATGAAGTTCATGTTCAGTCATGCACAAAGCAAGAAAGGTGTTGAGGTTCTTAGAGCAGATTTCTCCTCCATTTTGTCACTGACAAATGCACCTCTGAAGATGGCATTATTCTCACAATACTGAATATCAGAACAGCAACAAAATGAATCATCTGCAGCACCAACAACTAATGCGACGCATACGTCAGTGTGACACAAAGAGAGCGCTGCCAGTTTGACTCATGTAAGAAAATGAGTGGAACATGCGGAACATGTCACTTACTGTCCAGATTCAACTGTAGGTGGGTGAATCTTAAGGATAGCCTGTGAATGTTAATAATTGATACAAA